TAGCCTGCTATGCGCTCCATGATAGCTAACAGAGTAAGGGGAAAGTTATATGGCAGGGCAAGGGGTCAAGGCAAAGCACTTAGCCAGCAACTATGAGTAGCCAGACACTAGGGGACTAAGGATAGCATAGCAAAGGGCAATGCAATTAAGAGAAGCATTATACAGGGGAAGGTATAGCTCAGTGGTTTGAGCATTGGCCTGCTAAACCCAGGGTTGTGAATTCAATCCTTGCAGAGTCCGATTTTGGGCAAAAATTTGTCAGGGATGGTACTTGGTCCTGCTATGAAGGTAGGGGACTAGACTTGATGACCTTTCAAGGTCCTTTCCAGTTCTAGGAGATAGGCAATCTCCATTAATTAAATTTTTGAAAAACAGCTTTATGAATGGCCAGACAGCAATCTGAGAGTCATGCATGTTGCTCTTAATAAGGTGCCCCTGCATTAAGTCAGCTTGCCAGTAACTCTTCCCTCTCCCCTCCCCCAGTCCCACCCTTTCAACACAAGCAATCAAGACACTGTTGCTCAGAAATCATGAGTTTTTATTTAGGGAACACAGCAAGGACAGAAAAGGAGTTCTGGTGGAAGCATAGGGGGGAGGGTGGTGATCACAGGTGAGAGAAAAACAGTCTTTTGCTTCAGAGTGCATCCCTCGGGGTTGAATGTAAGGCTGAACCAGACTTCCTCTCCTCTTTCCCCTGTGTTGTAGGGCCCCGGGAGCAGAGGCTATGGAACTCAATGAAGAGGGAATGAGAATCCACAAGGGCTGGAGGGGGTGCCTGTGCATGTATTTGTCCTGGAAAATCGCCATGCAATTCATCACATCCACCATGGCCATCAAGACCTTCATCTGGTTCTTCACTTCCAGTTCCCTGCACATTCTTCCGCCCTCTCACTTCCACTCGCATCTCCCATAGCAGCATATTCCTCCACTCAATCACTCTCTGTCCAAGTGGGTGGATTGCATTTGCTCCTTGAACACGACATCTCTAGTACATCCCTGCAAATTGGTGCTATCTGGACAGCTGGGGTAGCCAGGGGAGTGTGTAACATGTTCATTGCTGTACCTACTGTAACAAAAAGTGAAAGGCAGACTTTACAGGAGTTTTATTGTCAAGAATATAATCTAATCTTTTTGCATAGAAGGAAGATCTGTCTAATGATAATAGGGATGTAGTGTATACAATGTCACAGGTATGCTTTTAAGTTCCTATTATGCAGCAGATACACCATAGAGATCTATGGGGAACAGCTGGATTCAGGTATGGTAAGGGACAGGACAGGTCTTGAGCCTGAGGGAGAGAGGAGGTCCAGATGTGGCAGCAAGGCAGGCAGGGCAGGGCAGGGCAGGGCAGGGCAGGGCAGGAACTCACACAGTGACCATGTGTTTGGTACCTCTCCCTCTCCCCCTCACATTTACCAGGGGTGCAACTTGCCTTTCCTGCAAGAGCATACAGGCAGGAGGGAGGGAGGGAGCCCAGGCATGGCAGGAGAGCGGAGGTTCAAGCCATGCTTCACTGGGGATGAGTAAATGGAGGTTTACTGCAGAGGCATCAGCTAATAGCGACCCGTTTCATCCACGTTGCCATGAAAGATACCAGTCTCCCCTGAATCACACAGATGCTGACAATGTGGCCAGAAACCTGGACCTTATGCTGCAATGTTTAATGCTGTTAGGATGCCAGACCACTTACTGCTGGCTTGGCATGGAAAGGTGTCCTACTCTGGAGGACGAAATAAGTCAGGCTTCCCCAGAAACCTTCTGAAAAGGATTAGAATTCCTCTTTGAGAGCTTTATGGAGATGTGCAGGGGACTCCTGCTCTGTCTCCAGACATATTAACAAGCTATTCCGGGAAGCCCCCCACTGTGTAGAAAGAGTGGCCACCAGAGATCACACCCAATTGCCTTAACCCACTTGTAGCATGATAAAAAATGTGAACTCACCAGAAGTGCCCTCCTTGACATCAGGATCTGGCTGGGAGACATCCTGGGGGGAGGGGATTATCTCCAAAGTTATAAAAAGGTCCTGGCTGTTGGTGAGATCGGTTGCCCCGCTCACCTGCTGACCATTCTCCAACTCCTTCTCCACACCGTCCTCCAAATTGCTACCAGAGGTTGCCAGAGGAATGTCTTAGGAAGAATCCATGGACTGGCTAGAGAAACTAATCAGGTCCTCCCTTTGGATCACATGCAGCTGCTCATAGAAGTAGCATGTTTGCAGCAATGATCCAGACTGTTCTTTTGACTCCTTTGTTTTCTGGTACAATTGTCTCAGCTCTTATTTTCATGAAGCACTGCTAGGTCTCTCCAATGTATCCTTTTCTCCTCCATGCCCTTTGCAATCTTGACATAGATATCTGCGCTTATTTTTCTGGTTCATAGTTCTGCAAGAGCAGATTACTCTCCCCACACAGCAATGAGGTCCAGAATCTCCTGCACATTTCATGCTATGCTCATTTGTGACTGGGAAATTCATGGTCATTTGTGCTACCTGCTCTGAGGTCTGCTCACCTCACTGGCCACACAGGAAATGAAATTCAAAAGTTCCTGGGTCTTTTCCTATTCACCTGGAGAGCAGTAGAGTTGAAAGTCCCAGAGTGGTCACAATGGGACACTGTGGGACACCTCTCAGAGGCAAAGAATGTCAACTTCACAGAGTTGCATCTGTGCTACTTTAAAGTAGACTATGCAAGGTCGATTTTAGCGTTACTCCTCATGAAAAGCAGGAATAATTAACTGACCTGCAGACCAGGTATTAGTTTCTAAACAAAGCTTCTGACTAGGATGGAGAGATCACAGGAGAAATTGGAATTGTTTAAGTAGGTGTTAAATTCCAAATTATGCCTTGGGATATATAAGCAGGGTTCTCACTGACATAAACAGGATTTTTACATATAGTGAGAACAAAATTGGGTCTTAAAGTTTCTTAACAGTACCAGTCCTGTGTTCCATTTTAGACAATGAAATTCAGCATTGTATAATCCTCAAATACTTGTTCATGAAATCCTTCAAAAAACATACTCTAGCGTTTTGCATTATTAAACATGAGCCAGACATTAATGGAATCAAAGTGGAATAGGTTTTTTTTAATCCACTAATTGTCTCCACTGGCTGGGGGGAAGAGGAGGGTGGTGGTGCAGAAGTTTGCACTGTCTCTTGAGTTTCTAATCTATACAGAACTCCAATTGCTTGTGCTTAAAGTCAGCCCTGCATTAAAACCTCCTATTAAGCATTAATAAAAGGTCTGCTCACAATGCCAATAAACTTATCCAGTTAGACACCCAATAATACTTTGCAATTTCCTAGAACCATTTATTGGACAGTTTGAACATAATTTATACCCATTAATAGAGTAAACCTCACAACAAATGTGGGAGATAAGCAAGACCAATGGAGAAACTAAGTCACAGAGAAACGAAAGCAGTTTGTCTAAGGTCAAGGAGCAAGATACACAGAAGGTCTGACTAGATTATGACAATGCTCCCTCCTGGCCTTGTAACCTATCCAATCCATGATTAGCAACAGAAATAGCAGATCTCAGTGGAGATGCACCAGGATTAAAGTGGCCCATGAAAGCCACATTACTGCTTGCTTTCCTTTTCTTCATGTTGTCGTACACCCCACATGATGCATTCCACAGGCTACAATTGGGCCTCAAAAGCTTTGTCAACACGGGGAACACCAGTGTCACCAAAAGAGCAAGCGCCATAGCGGTCACAACAGCCTCAGCTCTGCTGTCGAAAGGGCTGGAGCAGGTGACTCCCTTGCCGTGCAGGCAGCAGGCTGGCTCTGGGGCAGCTGCCCCGGGGGCTGGCAATTGGTGCAGGACAAGTACTAACTTTCCCCGCGCACGCGCACACTCTTCTGCCTTGCAGGAGGGCGCTGGAGAAGCGTCCAAGAG